TGTGCTGCATGGGACTTTCCTTTCTTGGGAGGCCTCTTGGGAGTCTTGGAGGCCTCTTGGGCCATCTTTAGGTTATCTTGAGCGTCTTCGAGCGATCGTTCAGCGACTCGGGGCCCTCTTGGACCGTCTCGGGGGCCTCCTGGACAGTCATGGAAGCCGTGGAAAGCCCCAGGGAGGCGCCGTGGCCGCCCAGGGGCCCCTGGTGATAGGGGCGATGCAGTCAGGGAAGCGCGACTGGGGGGGTTCCTTAGAAGGCTACACAATCCCTGCCAGAAAGCCCCTGCAATTCTTCCACGCCTTAGCGTGCCGCAGGCATGGTGGCGGATCTAAGGGTTCCAAATCCAACGCCCTCACCGCAGCAACATTCACTATGTGCTTTGCCCCTGGAGGCCTTGTGTTGGGGGGTCCTTTGGGGGTCCCCTTGGGCCGTTTTGGGGGGGCCTGCCGCTGAGGCCATCCGTTGCCTCTCTCCCTCGCCCCTCCCTGGGAGGACCAAACAAGTGCATACACAAGGGCTCCCCCGAGGGCGCGAAGTTATTCGCGCTTCGCGCTTCGCGGCCCTCGTTCCTTCTCCCCCTCCTCCTCGTCCTCCTATTCTCCCTTTGGGAGGGCGGCGCGAGAGCGCGAAGTTATTCGCGCTTCGCGCTTCGGGGAGCGCGAAGCGCGAAGTTGTGAGCCCTAGATACACATCAACTTTCGGCTCCGCGCGGCGTTCTTGGGTCGGCGCTGGGCCCCCCTCTGGCGGCAGATCTGGCCCCGCTCCGCGCGCCCGGGGGGGGGGGGAGCAGCGCCGATCGAAGAGATCCGCGCGGGTCCTCCGAGCGCTCACGCGTATGCAGTGTGTAGCTGTCTGCTCCCATCCGCACTCCTTCCCTCCGCTCCCCTTCGCCCAAACCCCACAAGGGGTCGCGCCGTGGGGCAAGCACGACGGGAGGTGCCGTTGTCCGTGTGCGGCCTCCGGGAAGCCCTCGCTTGGCCCCAGGACCGTCAGAGAGCGAGTCCAGATGAGCGGCTGGCTGGCCGTAGGGAACGGTTCGGGGCTTCGGGGGCCATATAGACATCGCAGGTCGGGCAGCTTTTCCAGGGAGTCTCCTCCCTCTGCTCTCGGCGAGGAGGAGCCATGGGAACTTCTCGGTGTCTCCCACTCCCTTGCACATATGAATATTTTTAGTATTATTATGAGTAATAGTATTAGTATTCGTATTATTGTTATTATTATTGTTCTGAATATTAGTGCTATTATTATTATTAGTACTATGATTGTTCTAGTTCTTATTATTGCCATTATAATTTCTTATTCTTATTGTTACTAGTACTACTAGTAGTAGTAGTAGTGGTAGTAGTAGTAGTAGTAGTAGTAGTAGTAGTAGTAGTAGTAGTAGTAGTAGTAGTAGTAGTAGTAGTAGTAGTAGTAGTAGTTAGTAGTAGTAGTAGTAGTAGTAGTAGTAGTAGTAGTAGTAGTAGTAGTAGTAGTAGTAGTAGTAGTAGTAGTAGTAGTAGTAGTAGTAGTAGTAGTAGTAGTAGTAGTAGTAGTAGTAGTAGTAGTAGTAGTAGTAGTAGTAGTAGTAGTAGTAGTAGTAGTAGTAGTAGTAGTAGTAGTAGTAGTAGTAGTAGTAGTAGTAGTAGTGGTAGTAGTGGTGGTTGTGGTGGTGGTGGTGGTGGTGGTGGTGGTGGTGGTGGTGGTGGTGGTGGTGGTGGTGGTGGTGGTGGTGGTGGTGGTGGTGGTGGTGGTGGTGGTGGTGGTGGTGGTAGTAGTAGTAGTAGTCGTACTAGTAGTATTCTTATCATTCGTATTATATGTCTTATTTTTATACGGAAGTTCACCTTCTGTGCGTAGTCTGCGTGGGCCTGGCTGCCCACGCGCGTGGGCCCGCCCGCGATCCAGCGCAGCTCTGCTCGGTCGAAGCGCCGGTCGCACCCGAGGGCCAGCCGGCAGGACCTTTTTCCCATCTATCCTGTGGTGTTGGGTCCTCGTCTTGAAGAGGCAGCGCTCGAAACTCAGTCTAGCCGAGCGATTCAAACTTCTCGAGTCTCACCGCAGATGGTAGAGCGAAGTCAACTCGGGGCTCCCAGGGAGGGCACGCCGTTTTCATATCGTCCGTGCGCGCACTGCAGGTCGTATATATCGAATCATATATTTGATGTGTTCCAGTGGTTGATTCTCGACCCAAGGCCCGATGCAGCGACCGGCCGACCTCTTCCCTCCTGCCGTCACCCCCCTCACTTTGGCACATCCCTCACACGCTTCGTGACCCTGTAGGGAGCTTTCCGAATGCGGTGCACACAACGACGGTGCTCACAATTGCATATTGTAGGGTCCTTCGCCAGGTTCATGTTTTTGTTCCCGAGCTCGCGCGGGACGGCAGAGCCAGGGCGCCAGAGAAGGAACCCTTGTCGTTGGGGAGGGGCTCCGTGCTCCTCCATGATTTCGATGCTTGCCGTCGGTTGTCCTTCGGCTTCCGATGGGAAGGCGGAGTTTAACTTCTGGAAAACATGGGCCTCGCTCCTGATTCATGCATTTCCTCAGGTCAGCGCCCCGACGGCAGAGCCAGGGCTGGGGTCGGCCCGAGCAGCCCCCAGGCAGAGGCCGGCCCCCGAGAGGGCCTTTGTGGGGGTCTCCCGGGGGGGCCTCGGCGGCTCCCCTGGGGGAGTGCCGGGTGGCCGTTTTTTTCGGACGCAGTGCCTGGCCGACTGAGAGCGGGCCCTCGCATCCCCCCTCCCACTGGAGGGTTTCTCCACAGGGCTTAGGCGACCCGTCCTCCTCCTCCTCCGCCTCCTCCTCCTCCTGCTCCTGCTCCTCCTCCTCCTCCTCCTCCTCCTCCTCCTCCTCCTCCTCCGCCTCCCCCTCCCTCCTCCTCAATCTCCTCCTCCCCCTCCTCCTCCTCCTCCTCCTCCTCCTCCTCCTCCTCCTCCTCCTCCTCCTCCTCCTCCTCCTCCTCCTCGGGTCGCCTACTGCCCCGGGGGAAGCCGTGCACCCTCCCCCCCCTCGTGGGGTAGATCTTGGCTGGTTTGGGCGCCCGTTTTGAGCAGTTGGGGCCTCATCCAGAGGACGCACGGTTCCAAACAGCCGCACCAAACAGGAGTTCGGAGCCAGACCA